AGATTGCTCATGTTGCTGTAGCACAGGAATGATGGAGTAGATCGCATGGAGCAGTGAGCTAACTTATCTATAGGTAAGAATATGTATCACTTGTTCTTATAAGTGTGAACTAGTGATGCTGGAAGAGACGTTGAATGCATTTGTATTTCACATTTTCTACTGGCATTAGAATAGATCACCTGAGTGATTTGCTGAATGCGTTGAGCTATAAGAAGTTAAAATTATCATAAAAACATGGCAAATACGATTAATACCATGTTGTCCAATGTACCATGTCATCCATTAAACTATTTACATAAGTACTATACATCTACTAGTGGTCTATATATAGGAATATGTACACTTCTGTTAGGGAAATGAAAAATAGAGTTTAGTTTCTTGTCCTCTATTATTTCTAAAATTTATGGTATTGAATTTCAAAACTCTTGTTCCAAATCAACTTTCCACAGACAATTATCCCATATGGCAGACTCAAATCGTCAAGCTACTTTGAGCAAATGGCTTCGAGCACTTTCTTGAATATGCGACACCACTCTCTTCCTCCCAGATTCTTTAATTGGATGTTGCAACTGTTTCAAATCCAGCATACCAAAAGAGGCTCGTCACCGATCGGAACCTCGTGGCGGTGATTTGCTCCACCATTTCATCATCAGTGCTACCATATATTTTGCATCTTGAGTACACATCAAAAATCTGGAATGTTCTTGAAACTCGCTTCCAATCTACAAATTGTTCCAAGGTGATACAGCTTAAGAATGAGTTGCATAACACCTCGATGAAAAATCTATCAATGATGCAATACCTGACAAAAATCAAGAAGCTCGTCGATCAAATTGCGTTTGCAGGCTCGATGGTGGAAGGATAATATCCTATACATTTTGAAAGGACTCTCACCATCTTATCAATCCTTCAAGACCTTGATTCGGATGATGCTTATACTGATTAGCCTTGACAATCTCTACAGACTGCTTATCAGTGAAGAAATCCATCTCCAAGCCAAAGTAGCAAGAATACCAAACCCAGCTGACTTCAAAACAGTCTTATACATGCACCGAGGTAGAGGACATCACGGTCGTGGGAGATAGTCACAAAACTCTAACTCGAACATTAGATCCGTGCAGCAATCCGCCTCTTTCTGCCAAATCTGTACCAAGAAAGGACATAAAACGGATGTTTGTTGGCATCGTTTGAATGTTAAGTACACCTCGCCGACAAACCAAGCTAAGACAAACAAAGCCTTACTCGCAACTGCCGACTCTCCTTCAACCGACTAGTACTTGGACTCCGGGGAATATTCTCATATGACCAAAGAAACTGAGAATCTTGCATATGCCACAACCTATCAAGGTTCTGACAGCATCACCATAGGGGACGGAAGATCGATTCCCATTGCCCACTCGGGCACGTGACTCCTTCCCACCCCGTCCCATAAGCTTTCCCTCTCCCAAATGTTACATATTCCATCTATTTCACATAAACTCATTTAAATTTCTAACTTAGTTAAAGATAATTACGTTTATGTTACATTTGATCCAATGGGTTTTACCTTTAAGGATATGAAGACCAAGAAAACGCTGTTCAAAGATTTATGTAAAGACGGACTGTACTCGATCTCGGCCAACTTCTCTGTCACGAGCACTTCAACTCTCTCGGCTATTCGAACTGCTTCAACTATATGGCACAATTGCCTCGGACACCCACATCAATGGGTATTCCAGCTAATTGCCTGCAATTATCCTACACTACACATACCGAAACTTCATTCTGTTTGTGTTTCATGTATGAATTGTAAGGGTCACAAATTATCATTTGAAGAGTCATTAAATAAAAAACATAATCCTCTCGAATTGATTCACTCTTATGTGTGGGGACCATCCCCGGTTATCTCACATCAAGGGTTTCGGTATTAGGTTATTTTCGTTGATGATTTTTCACGGTTTACCTGGTTATTTTTTATTATGTTTAAATATGATGTAACTGACAGTTTCACTAACTTTGCCACATTTATCAAAAGGCAAACTAATCATAAGATTAAAGCTATACGCATAGATGGCGATTGCGAATACATCAATTAGTAGTTTAAAAATTATCTCCAATCTATGGCATTCATCATCAAATCTCCTGCCCATATATGCCTGAACAAAACGGGATAGCAAAATGTAAGCATCATCATATCATGGACACAACTCGAACTCTTCTCCAAACTGCATCTATTCCTCATTCATATTGGCCTGAAATGTCCACAGCTATATTTCTCATAAATCAAATGCCCTCCATCACTACTAATAATGTCTCCCCCATTTAACTTCTCTTCAACACAAAACCATCATACTCGCATCTTCGCAACTTCGGATGCGAATGTTTTCCCCTCATGCTTATACATACGCATAAAAAATTTCAACCAAACACAATATCTTGTGTGTTCATGGGTTATTCTGATGCACACAAAGGTTACAAATTTATGAATAGGGAAACCAATAGCATAATGATCTCTTGTCATGTTAAATTCATCGAAACATCCTTTCCATTCATGCAGGTTGATTCTTCCATCATGATTACTATAATCTCTTTACCGCCTTCTCTCCTTGTCTCTACCTTGATGGCCCAAGAATCAGCTCAAGACAACTCTCAATCTCATATTGCTCAGCCGCTAGCTCTTTCTCACAACAAGCATACTCATACCACCATCTCCAACTCCCCGCTCTTCATCTGCTACTCAACCCATTAGTGAGCAGACCAGACAACCCGTCATGCACCCAATGAAATCTAGATTACAAACTGGTTCTCTCAAGCCGCCTAATCATCTCAATCTTCTTCATCTGCATTCTACAACATCACCATCCCCTGATCCTACCACATTCATCGAAGCAAACAAATGCTTTGAATGGCAATGGGCCATGGCTGCAGAATTCTTCGCTCTTCAAAAACAAGGCACCCGGTTTCTTGTCCCTCCTCTGACAAATGCATTTGTCCTAGGTTACAAGTGGACTTTCCGAAAGAAACTCCACTCTTATGGTTTTATCGCACGATTTTAAGTGCGACTAGTGGCATAAGGAAATCGACAAGAATATGATTTTTACTATGATGAGACCTTCAGCCGGGTGGCGAAACTTCCTACAATTAGAGTACTCTTCACCATTGCTCTCTTTCACAGCTGGAAAATTCAACAATTGGACGTTACAAATGCATTTCTATATGGCCACCTTACCGAAACAGTCTACATGTGTCAACCCAAAGGATTTGAAGTCTCAACCAATCTGGATCACGTCTGCTATTCGAAAGGCCATATACGACCTTAAATAAGAGCCACGCCAGTAGTACACAACATTCACTAATTATCTCATTAGCATTGGCTTTCGGCACAGCAAGGCCGACCCGTCTATGCTTACATTCACTCAAGATCAGACTCAAATCTATTTGCTCGTCTACGTCAATGACATCTTCCTAACTGGTAACAATACGTCCGCTATCTCGGATCTTCTTTACAAGCTGCATGCTAAATTCACCATGAAGCATCTTGGTTGGACAAATCATTTTCTTGGCATCAAGATCCAATCTTGCACATATAAGTATTTTCTATCCCAAAGCTCATATGCATCTTCCATTCTCCAACAAAACTAACCTAATCAATTGCAATTCTTTGGCTAATCCGTCTTGTACCAAGACGCCCAACAAGGTCGAAGCCGACCACATGCTATCTGAACCAAACTTCTATAGAAGAATAACAGGGTCTCTCCAATATCTCACACTCACTCGCTCGGATATCGCCTACACCGTCAACATTATCTCACAACATATGCATGACCCGTCATAATATCATGCCCATCTTCTCAAGAGACTCCTTTGCTACATTAAAGGAATGATCGACTTTGGTCTACCTATCTCCAAATTCGATCTCAGCCTTCGAACCTTCTCAGACGCAGACTGGGTTGGCGATCTAATTACTAGGAAATCTACCTCCGGATACTGCACGTTCCTAGGTGATACACTCATATCTTGGGCGGTCAAGAAATAATCCAGGGTAGCAAGATCGTCAACGGAATCCGAGTATCGTGCCCTCGCAGTGGCCACGACGGATACTATATGGATCAAGCGTCTCCTTACCAACTTCAACATCAACCAATAGACCTCTTCTGTGACAACACCTCGACAATAGCGCTTGCGAACAACCCAGTGTTCCTCACAAGAACTAAATGTATTGAAATAGATCATCGATTTGTTTGCGATCACATTCACAACAACCACATTAAACTTCTGCCTATCAGCGCAACTGACCAGATAGCTGACATCCTAACCAAACCATTATCAACTCCAAGATTCAATTTACTTTGATTCAAACTGACGATCACTCAAGATCTATCAGTTTGCGGGGGCTATCAGAACAACATGGCAAACATGATTAATGCCATGTTGTCCAATGTATCCTGTCATCCATTAAACTATGTACATGAGTACCATAAATCTACTAGTGGTCTATACATAGGCGGATCCCCATACTAGTGAGGGGGGGCAAATGCCCACCCTTAAAAAAATATTTTTTAAATTGTAGAAGGTATTTTTTGGAATATTTTGAGTATTTTGGGTATTTTGCCCCCTCTCAAAAAAAATTTCGCACTAATTTTATCAATCCTAATCATTTTTGCCCATCCCCTACCAAAAAAAAATTTTTTGCCCACCGTAAGAAAAGAAGCTGGATCCGCCCCTGGGTCTATATATAGGACTCTGTCTACTTCTAATAGGAAAATGAAAAATAAATTTTAATTTTTTGTCCTCTATTCTCTCTCTAGTTCTTAAGTTTCTACAAAAATAATAGAGATGGCAATTCCATGAATCTAACGATGAGACCTCTTGTCAAAGATTTTTCTTCTCTCATTTTTATATATTAAAGTATTTTTTTTTAAAATATTTGACTTAATAATAATTTGATTAACATAATAGATCAAACGGCTGCAGACTGCAGGGTTATAAAGCAAAAAAATTCCGGAAAAAAAACCAGCATATTTGTTTTAGTTGCCCGTTGTGAACAGTCTACCCAATCAAAACCTTTTCCTATGCGGTCTCTTCTGCCGCTCGTCCTCTGCGTTCGTATTGCCTCAGCTTGTTACTAAAGCTAGCGATTGACGTCGGCGGCACCTTTTGGGATCTCCAGAAGGCTGAAGCCAGATGCCGGTTTCGAAGGCGTCGTCTTCCTCCAAGCAAGCCTGTCGCCCTCAATCTCTCCTTCTGGATATCCCAGTACCGCAGTACAACGCTACCATCCGCAGAATTCGCAGCTGATGCCCCCGTCCCTGAAGCTCCCGATCCGCGTTGATTTTTCCGGAACCCCAGCCATCTCATCAAAGGTCTCTCCTCTTTATTTGCGTGATGTAAAAGTGCTTATTTGGCGACAGAGATGGTATATTTCGTTTGCAATGTTCGTAGTTGCTCAAGGACCTACTGGTATCAGGCCTGGTTCTCTTACTGCAAATGTCACAAGCTGTTTTTTTTATTTTTTATTATCAATGTATTTTTGATATTGAGAGAAGGTAGTTCCTAAAGTTGGAGAACAAGCTACAGAAGCTGATACGATCCATGAAGGCTTGACACCGATAATCTATCCACAGAAGCTCATACGATCCAAGGTGGAAACATCAAATGCCGGTGAAGCTTATGGATTACATCATGTAGAAACATAAATGGGAGCTTATGAGTGCATATTATTTGGGTATAGTTAATTTTCTAAAATGTGTTATTAGAGGGACAAGTGTCATGACTCCATTGTTTTGATTGTTGATGTAGTTAAGGCTGTGGGACTTGCTACAGGCAACCAAAGAGCAACTAAGCGAGATCCAAGAGTTGTTACAGAACATGCATCTCTGCTTAATGTTGTTGGAGGTTAAGCAAGACCATTCCACATCGTCAACACCTCCAACTTATGGAACTAGTTTCCTTTGATAGCTCCATGAAGTAACTTATGGGCATTCCTCAATATGTTGGTGGGAACCTGAAAACTGGTTTTAAAAAATGAGTTCATAAGCTGTCCGGTGATGATAATCTTCGACTCACTTCGTTCCACATGGAGGGACCGGCTGAAGAATGGTATCTATGGTTGTCTAAGGATAAACGATTAACCTCTTGGCCTGATTTCCCTACTGCCCTTTGAAACTGATTTAGACATCCGATGTATCGTGACCTCCGGTATGAGCAAGTCAAGTTACTACAAACATTTACTGTATCAGAATATCGACAACAATTTGAGAAACTCTTAGACCAAATCGTCTATGTTGACGAGTTATTCCTATAAAGCTAGTTGAACCAAGATTGAAACTAGCAATTTGATAGGAAGTGCACATTCACAGACCATTCTCCCTTCAACAATTCAACCTAAACTTCTACATCCTATAAATTCAAGGAGTTGACATTGTTTTTGGTATTTAATGGCTACAACAATTGGAGAATGTAGTAATCAGCAAGTCTTCTTTGACCCAGTTTTTCTCATTTTGGCAAAATTGTTTTACTCCATAGCACTAATCCACTTAATCTTGAGCATATCCATTTCAACCAACTCATTAAACCATCCACAAAAGGCTAAATTGCTTCCTGCTTTCACTTCTTCGCCGACCTATTGCAACCTTATCCACATCGTATAAACCCTTGCCCCAAACACTAGGTAACAAATCATTGTTAATTTCTGTATTATAGTGCTATACCAATATTTTTAATGAGCTAATGAGATCACCACCAAATTGAACTTAGGATCATCATATGCTCTTGTAATCCAATGCTTGCTCAATCCCTGTTTGCCCAATCAATACTCATATTTCCAAAAGAAAAAAAAATGTCATTTGAAAAATCATGAGGTATAGAAATGATAGAGATAAATGATTTATTCTAGCTCATTTTGGGCGGACAACAGTGGATGACAACTATTACACGAAATGGGATAAAAAAAAGGAGCAAAAGTAGAAATTATAGTGGTAGGTCTTTAAATTCACATTAATTCTTGCAAATGATGGCCATAAGCCAATTATACATTTTTTTTTCCTTATTATATTTTCTTATAATATTTTCCCGGTTAGGAAAGTAGAGGTATTCGATTTGACAGTAGAGACATTCGATTTGACTTATATTATGAAAGATAGAGATAGACCTAAATAGACTTGGTTAGAAAATATTAGAAATGATATTTCTTTATTAGATTTAAATGAGAATTTAACTTTTAACATAACACAATGGAGAAAAATGATTCATGTAGCCAATCCCACATAGGGGACAAAAGCTTGATGTTGTTGTAATATTTTCTTATCATCGGTTTTGCATGGAATATGATTAGTGCCCCCTTATCATAACAATCTCAATAATCAAAACTTTGAATTTATTCACTTGTCCCTCTAATAATAAACTTTAGATAATTAATTCTACTACCATTCTATGCACCTATAAGCACCCATATCTTTATATTTCTTCACTATTTAATTCTTAGCTTCATTGGCATGCGATGTCCTATTTTGGGTGCTCGCAATTGGTGTTATAGTAGATATATTACTGGCAATGTTTTCATTGGTTGTATCAGAAGCATAGAGATAAGTACATGGAAGAAGAAAAATAATAAAGATCTTTATTTCATTTACCAAGGAGTTAATAATGTGGTTTTTGAGAAATTGCAGGTACTAACACAACAAAACAAGCTTGGGACATCATTGAACAAACATTAAAATGATGGGAACTAGAGTAGAGAGTAATACTGCAAATCCCTGAAAACAATTTGAGTTATTGGAGGTGGATACTTTAGAATTATAGCAGATTATGTTTCCGTAATCCATGCCTTATGAAATCTGATGAAAGTTAACAAGCAGAATGTGGGAAAATCCACATTGGTTGCAAAAATCCTGCGAACTCTCAACCTTAGGTTTGTCCCCATCACTATTGCTATTAAGGAAGCAAAAGATTTGACTATTATGACTTTTGAATTGCCAGGCTCAGTAGAGGCTTATGAGCAAAGACTCAATGAGAAGTCACTATAAAAGACATTAGACAAGCCTTCCTCAAATCCCAAGTTTCTCTAAAAGGTGATAAAATACAAAAAGGTGAACAACAATCTTCTAGCAATAGATTTTATGGTAGATGAGGATAGCTATGTTGTGGTAGAGGATGTTTTGGAGTTAGCGTAAGATCTAACATTGAAAGATAAATTTTAGTGGAAAAGGCTGAGGTTTTGTAAATGGAAGAAGAAAATATGATAAATCTAATGTTCAGTACCATGAATGTAATAAGTATGACCCTTATGCTTGTGAGGGCAGGTCAATGAATTATTATCAATTTACAGAAGAAGCTGAATTTTTCTAGCCACATGCTGAAATGGATCACACTCCACTGGTGGTACCTTCAAGTGATGAAAGAAAAGAGCAAATCATAGTGCAAGTTATCTTGATGTAGTTTGCCCAAATCTTATGTTTGGAAGGAAGTATCTTTTTTTTTGGAGAAACATGAATCAATAAGAAACTCAGTCAAATTAACAGATGATAATAGTTGACAGTCATGGGAAGACGTAAAATTTTATTTCAATTAAATAACGGTCATCATCATTATATTTAAGATATTTATTATGTTCCAAGTATGAAGAGAAATTTATTGAGCATGAGACATTTACTTGAGAAAAGGGTATACTATGCAACTTGGAGATAATCAGTTTACTATTTTTGAATAAAGAGGTAAAATTATATTAAAATTCCTTTTGAGATGCAATAATATGTTTAATATAGATATTAAGAATGATGTTTAATATTGTTTGATTGTGAAAGTGAATGATGTTTATAGTTTCCCTAATCATTGGAAGTTGTAAAATTTTAATTCAATTAAACAAAGGTGACATTTAGCATATTTTAGATATTTTCCATGATCCTAGTATGAAGAGTGATTATTAAGCATGGAACAATTAATTGAGAAAAGGATATGCCATGCAACTTAGTTTTGTATTTTTGACAAAAGAGGTAAAATCATTTTTTAAATTTGCTTTGAGATGCAATCATACACTCAACATAGATATAAAGAATAATGTTAAACACTTTATGACAGAAATAGTGAATCATGATTCATGTTTGTGGCTTTTTTTGATTTAAACATTAATGTGAACCTCAGAAAGGACACCGCTCGGCGGGGGACAAAATGCAAAGGGTATGATCGCACTATCCCGTAGGGCAAAATGATCGTAGGCCTTTAAGCTCTTCACAAGTGGGCCAATGAGAGGGCATATTAGATCATACATACGATTAACCATTGGGGATAGCGGCTTTCGCCTACACACCTCGATGGTAATAATATGCATGACCTGATCAAAGTAACGAGGTTTCCCCCACCCGATATATCAGCTCGAATGGGATTTATTTGATGTGAGATTCGATTTTCCACGGGCGCAAGCTCCCGTGGTTAATTACATCTTAAGCCGGAGCCTAAGAAGACTCTCTATTAAAGATCCTAAATTATCCTTTCAATTGGGCACATAGGGAGGAGACTAGGAAGTTCCTAATCAAGGGGAAGGAAAGGGTTCAACTCGGCTTAATCAACATACACGGCTCACATCAATATCCGGAAGGACTAAAGTAATAAGAAAAAGCTGGAGAAAAAGATAATACTACACTCAGAGCATACAAGAGAGAAGAATGGAGGTGGTGTCATTCATGTGATGCGGACAGGCAGGATTTATAACCTCTGAAGGATAAATGACTTACTCATTGATGAGGCATACTACGAGACACCGATAGTAGTAGCCTTGAATCCTAAATCTTAGTGGGTTTAATGTTCTACACGCAACACTAACACCCGTGTCCTAGCTAATGCATTCTGGACTTATATCCTGCTTGAAAAGGAATGCCAGTTAACCACCTAGTCGTATAAAATATATGTCCGATCTTTATGAAAGATGGTTGGGTAGCTGAGTTATTGGAAGTTAAGGCCCACATCTAGAGAGGTTCCTATGGCCTTTTACTTGTGTAGGGTAAAATGTTTCTAGTTTTAATACAATTAAATTTTAATTTAATTCATTTCTAATACAATGCATGCTAGCTAAAGTCTACAAATTATGAATACATGAAATTTAAAAAAAAAGGCTTATAAAATAATTTTTTAGAAAGACTAAACTTCCCTAGGTCCAGCACCTCAACAATCAAAACATTGAATTTATGCACTTGTCCCTCTAATAATAAACTTTATGCACTTGTCCAGCATCGGATTATTTGGTAACTACCTGCGGGTTGGGAAGTGTCTTAAAGCAAGGAGAGAGAAGAAGCATTAATATGCATGTAACCCCGAACAACTCAGGCTATTCCCTAGATCGTTATATTTCTTGCAAATGATTTGGCATATT